TGGTTACCCCAGCCCCAAGCCGCTGCTGCAGGGCTGCCATGGCTGAGGCACGGCAGCTGCAGCGCTCAGGGACAAGCGGGCGTCGAGGTCAAACACCACTTCTCTTCATTGCTGCAGGGAAACGTGGATGAGCAGAGACAGATGCGATCCGGGGGCATGGGTGCAGAGCAGGGCAGCAGCACCCAGCCTCGTTCCTCACACGCCCCCAGCTCCCCTTCCCCCAGCCCCAGGCTCCTGCCTTGCTTGCAGCACAGGGAGGAAACCACTGCAGGCAGCGGCTGCCCCCGGCTGCAGCAGCCACTGTGAGCAAGCCCAGCTTCCCTGGTGTGGTTTATCCCCCCGTCCCCAGCCCGGGTGTGCGGTGACAGTGCCTGGCCACTGCCTGCAGCATCCTGCTCCGGCTGGCCCTGCTCCGAGCAGGGCTTGGACTGCGCAAGCTCAGAGATCCCCACCAGCTTCAGCTGGTCTGGGGGTCTCCAAAAATGCATCCGTTTGCAGGAAGTGCAGCTTCTCTCAAGAGCAAATTCCCTTACAGGCCTCCTGTTTCCTGAGAATTACTCCAGTCCGGAGAACCGAGTAAATCTTCTGCAATATGATGGATTGTTTTCTCCTACGAACGGCCACAGCTCTGGGTCCTTTGGCCAGGCCAGCCCCTGTGTGCTGAGCGTGACACAGCGGCAGTAAATCACAAGAAATAATCACTTGTATGAAGACTTGAGCTTCTCATTTCCCATAATGATAATCCTTCATGAAAATGAAATAAGGATTTCTACAAAGTTGTGGAGGCTCTTGGCATAATAACACCCAGCAATAAACTGCCCATTAATGAAACAAAACTTCTCTCGGTGCTTGCCCAGAAAACTTTGCCCAAATCCTTACCTTGCAGGTTACTGTAATTAGAGTTAATTTTATAGCAAAAAAAGGATACCAGGTGCATATTAAAACTGCTTCTGACTAATTAGGGTAACATTTTCAGCGCGAGAGTCTTTCTTTCCATCTATATTTGGAAGCATTTGAGTGCCAATGCTCCCAGTTTTTGGTTAATTACAGGTACCCTTCTGTCCTTTTCCCCAGCAAAACTCGATTTATAATTGATACTCACCAAACACAGTTAAAAACATACACATTTCTGTGGCCTCCCCAGGGGCTTAGCACACTTCCAGGAAGATTAACATGGATGAACAAGGAACATCTTTGCCTACGCCGTTGCCTCAGAGAAAGCTGGTGGTGCCTGGCTGTGTATAGCGGGAGGATGGTCATTACTGCAGGTTACAAATACCGGTGGCTTCTGCTGAAGTATCAGCCGAAGAAAGCACGATTTGAGGCTACCACTGAGAGAGGGGAGATTCCTATTAAACGAAATTCAGCTATTGCCAAAAAAATCAGGTGAAAGAAAGCACTTGAGCAGAGGGGGAGACTGGCTCTGAGATAAGGAGGAAGCACGATTCTCTTCTAATGCAATAATACGTTAAAATACTTCTCTAGTGGCTAAAAAAGAGCACACTGCCTTATTTCTCATCATTGCCAATATACATACCACTACAAAGATAGTTTTCTTTCTTCTGATTGCTTTGCAATTACAGGTAAAAATTGTAAGGTAATTGGATTTTATACGCTCTCATCCAAAAGCTTTGGAACGTGATTATCTATGGTGATTGACATATCCCAAGTGGTGAATTATTGCATTAGAGATGTGTGTGCAGCTCTTATGTACAGCCAATCAGAAAACCTGTGTCTGGCACTGAGCTGCATAATTTCAGGCCTTACTGGGAAATGGCGCAATCTAGGCTGAAACCTGACTGGAACTGGACAGATTTTGAAAACTTCTCTATTAGTGACTGAAAATAAGCTTTACCCACTGAAAGGCTCTAAATTATGAGCCATATGAGAGAGAACTTAATAAAGATGTATTGCTTCATTTGAAACGCTTACACGCATATGTCCATACAGTGCAACCAGCTCTCTTTTCCCAGTTCTGACCTGCATGCTTTGTCCCATAGGTTCACAGGAGCAGACAGGGAATATGTCCTGCTCAGAGGCTAGCTCTGTGGATCAGGAGTATCTGCCTGAACTTGGATAGCTCGCTTTACTGTAAAACAAAACAAAATTTAAAAGTCCCAGCAATGATGCCACTCTTGCAGAAATCAGGAGTATAGCTTCCATTGCAAGTTAATGGCAGTTTACCTCGGGTTGGGTCACTTCAGCATCTCTCTAAGCACAGCCACCAGAGAGCTCTCTGGCCGTGCGGTAATTTTACATCTGCCAGTCTAATCGGAAACTCAAATATAAAGTATACAGCGCCGGAGCTTTTAGCTGTAACGTGCCATTCACTGGCCCCTGCCACAGCGTATTGCAGGAGGCTGGCAGACCAAGCGAGTTCGAGCAGCGTGGGCCATGGGGAGGGCCATGAAGCTGGACACGTGCCCCTGGCAAGGCTGACAGGTACGTACCAGGCACAGGGAATTGCTGGGAAAACGCACGCCTTAGAGCTGTCCTAATTCAGGCCAGCACGGGCTGCTGCTGGTGCGGCACAGTCTGGACGGGCTTCATAACGCTGAGTGAACAACTCTGCCTTACAAACCACCGGTAATGGCTGAGCTTTCAGCAAATCATAGCTGTTGTTCAAATAAATTATAGCTCCTGTGAAGAAGATGAACATTGCAGTTTCAGACGAAAAAATTACTAGGGAGCTTGCTTTGAGAATGAATTGAGGCAACCTAAAAAGGAAAATCTGCTTGTGTCAAGCCTTAGGAAGTGGACAGTGAATTGGCTAAACAATAGTTACACATTTCAGAAAGCCGGCTGTGCAAACCACTTCCCATGTATGCATTTTATATATATAAAAGACAATGCTATTTTCTTCCGAGTACAGAAAAGTCCACCGAAGTTTCTGAGATGCTATTTTTAAAATGGCATAGCCGTAAACCTGCAAACAGTTGGGCAATGTAGACCTTCTTTTAAAAATGGCTCTTAGCTTCAAAAATAAAAACCGGTAGAAAACACAGCCACTAGTTTGATGATGAGAATGGAGGCAAAGAATGGCGACGGATCTCATCAGGGGTGGGTGACGCACGTCCCTTCCTCTGCAAAACCTTTTATTACAAAATGTAGAAATAAAAGAAACCGACCGGGTGGGAATAAGGGCAGTGAATCTTTTTAACAGCTGTCTCCAAGCTCAACACGTTAACCTTATAAAAACAAATCTCCTGCACTGTTTCAGGAATAGTCTCCAGCACAGCTTTTGCCCAAGGCCAGTTTGTAATGAACAGGATCCTACACAGAGTCAGCTGGCTAACGCCAGCGTATACACACACACACTTTTATATATATATACACACACATATATAAGATATATAGATATATAAATAAAGGTCTTTGGATATATAAGTAGAAGAAGTCAGTAACAAAGTGAGTCTCCCTGCCACCTTTACTAGGAACTTTTTTAGAAGGAAAGCATATAACCTAGAAACAATATTATCAGAAACTTTTATTTGTTGTGATTTGTAGCTTCACACAAATACTGAAATGAAGAGGAAAGCATTTCAGATTTTCAATCTGCAGGCAAAATACATAAACACATAAAATATTTGTCAGTATTAACAGCCAGAGAATGAATCGATAGGTCTGCTATGGAAGGAAGATTAACCATTTGTTTGGGGTTTTTTTGGGTAAAAATTAACAAATTAGTTCTTTTAAAATTACATTTTATTTTATGTTGCAGATGTACATTTTCTGTTGTTTCCCATTTTCGTATTTAGTTCAAACATACGGCAAAGGCTAGTTTGCCTGTTAAAATGGATAAGAATCAGACAATAGTTCTGAACTAAGAGCCACTTCAAATACGTTTTGGAGTGAAACAGAATCTTTCCACTACCTTCAAGAGAAGCAAAGTCAATCCCAAACTACAGAATCCTATGGATATATGGTGGGAAAGCAAATGTAATTCCTAAGGTTTATATTTACTAAGCTATTGTAAAATACTATGTTAATAGTTGGAGGTCTATAGAAATCCATAGTTAGAGATAGCAGTAGGTAGACAGAGATCCATAGTTAATAATAATTTAAAGCAAACAAACAGCAAAAAAATATTTTGTCTAACCAGGCTAGAAAAATCAAAATATGCCAATTAAATGAAACACAGTGAGAACAGGAAACTTCTGTATTCCTTACGTGCCATTCTAGTTGGTCACTGCTTATCTCTCTCTTTCATTATATCAATATAGTTTAGTACCTCCAGAGTCCTTCTGCCAGCCAAACTCAGATATTCGGTTTCAGAAGAAAACGCCGCTATTTCTGCTGTGCTGCTTGTGCCTGCAGGCTGCAGCGCCTCATGTGCTGGCATTTTGTGCCCTCCAGCGGTGCCTGCGGTGCTGGGAGGAGGGATTCCCCCCGGGCTGCGGGCAGAAGGAAGGGAGCTCCCACAGCTGCACACCTGCGTGGTGCCACACTGGGTGGCAACATCCACTTTCTCTACTTCTGTAACAGAGCTCTCAGTCTGCGACCAAACATCACACCTGACACTGCGAGTGACATGCTCTCTCTTAAGGGCTTGGTGTAATGAGCTGCCCTCAGGTGGCGCAGCGTGGTTTTTATTTTCCTTCTCTGTGGCACAAAAAATAGAGTCTTTCTCCTGAAGATGGTTTGCTGCTTCTCTAGCCAAAATACTGCTGGGCGGGAGAGGCACAGTTCTGGTGCAAGAGGTCTTGGGGGGCTCTGTACTTGCTGAGGCTGAGATCAGGTTGGCATCATCTATCTTCAAAGACCGTTCATTCAGATATTCCTTCTTTTTGGCTGTGTCTTCCTCTTCAGCCTGTTTGAACAGAATTGTGTGAATGTAACTGTTTAAATAGTTCAATAACTAAGGACTAAGTTAATGAAAATGGTTTTAGTTGTTTGGGGATTTTTTTCAGTCTTTCTCCAGGCGTGTACTCCTGGCCTTTGTTGAAGAGAAGGTGGGTAAGGCGGACCTTCACTCTCACACAGAATTTGTGTGGCATTTTTGTGTTCAAGAATGGCTGAAAACACAGTGTGTCAAATATTCCTGCCTTACAGGCATGTAATGTAAGGCAGCTATACATCAGGGAAGAGAGCAGAAGCTTGCTTAGCATCTTCCCACAGTCATGTTACTGTAATTCCACAAGGCCTGATACTATCAAGAGACCAGACCGCATGTCTGTTAAACTACTTAGGAAAATTTACAGCTAATAATTTCTTGTCTTCCTCACACATGAAGTTGCCTTGTACAAAACAAAACCATAAATAAGATTCCAGCTACATCCACCCTTAGATGCACTCAGGCATACAGATATCATTCAAATGAACCCCTGCAAACCCATAAAGGGGCAGTACTTACCGTGTCAGGACTAGAGCTGAAACAGCTCTCTGTCTGCCTTGGAGAGTAACTGGGAGACTGGCTGCTGAGTGACGACTCCACATCTGAAAAATGAGATTAAAAGGAAAGAAAGGTTACTCACCAAAAATTCTCCAATCATCCAATGCTCAAGTACAGCATGTAGAATTAAACATTCCTACATCTGATGCAGTTTTAAGATACTGTTTAATGAATAAAGTGTTAGCAAGGTCAATCTAGGTCTTGGCAATAGTTGATTCTTCTCCTCTCAGGACAACATGTCTTAACACAAAGCATGAAGCTGAAGCTTCCCTAAAGCTTCAGCTATGCCGTTAATCAGCAGCCTGCACCGGCAGCAGAACTGTGCTACCCAAAAGCAAGGTCAGGCTGAACAGGACTCTGAGCAACCTGCTCTAGTTAAAGATGTCCCTGCTCATTGCAGGGGGCGTGGACTAGATGACCTTTAAAGGTCCCTTCCAACCCAAACCATTCTATGATTCTATGAAAAGGAGGAAGGACTCTGCAAAGCAAGGGCAGGGAGAGAACGCAGCAAACTCCCTGCACACATTGGTTGCCATACAAGTTACATGGGCTTATGGTCATATTTTCGTCTTGGAGACCCTTGGGAGATCTTCTGCTCTGAAATGCAGCCAGCACAGCTGACCCCTACAGCTACTGAGGGAGCAAAAAGGATGTGGGATCACCCTGCTGACTCCTCTCACTCTGTGCACATGTGGAACAACAGCATATAGTCTAGGGGAAAAGAATAAAGACTAGTGAAGACTAGACCAGTAAAATGGCACATGTCAAACATCTAATGAAGATATTAATTAATAGAAAAAACATGTCCAGGATTTTTTCCAACCAACAGAGGTCTGCAGGAATAGAAAGAAAGAAAATGACTGGCATTTACTTGGCATTTTACTGTGTGGTGATGTAGGTAAACTTGAGTTGTGGTGTTCAGATTAATACTCTTGACCTCTCTCATAGATTTTTTTTTTTTTTTTAGCAGTTACCCCTACTTTCAGAGATGGCTTTTCAGTTTAGGGGACAACCTTGGAAGAAATGGGACAATGAAAAACATGTGTGTAATACTCACCAGAGAGAAGTTAACCTGAATTTATCTCTTCAAGGAAAAGCAAATACAGATAATTCTTAGTTACCTGGTAACGCTAGTCTTCTTTATACAGTGCTGCGTGAATCAAAAATACAAGCCCTCATCAATTGTAACATCCTAAAAAGATCAAAACACTTCTCCCTGGCTTTAAAAGTAACTGTTTCAGTTTCACATGTAGAGAAAAATCTGATTTTGGAATTAATAATGTATAAATGGTACTAACCCTTCTCCATCTCGTGAAGATTTGAACTCACTCCAAACTTATACTCTTTCTCTTGTGCTGTTGTGAACTTTTAAAAATAAGTAAATGTTAATAGTGAGGGTTCAGCTGGATCAGCACCTCAGGTTAAGTGAGGAACATTCAGTTTCTGTATTACATAAAGGAGTCACTGCACTGCACCACAAATTATTTCAAGAGGTACCAAACCCCTGACCAATTCTGTATGGACCTGGGTGACTTCTGTGGGCAAAATATCTACAAGATTCTTTATATGTATATTGGCATAAAGTTCCTTTATAATGCTGAAGTGTCCTGCATATAATGTCTGGGCACTGCCTGCAGAATCTGATCCTAAGGGTTAATGGGTAATTTACGCAAAGTATTTCAGGCAACAGCTTAGGTGTGAATCAAACCATGTAAATCATGGACCTGAAAGGGCTATCTATCTGAACTACTTAACTAGAAGCTGTTCTTTCTGGTGGCCCTATAGAAACCATGAAGGAAAAGAAGCTTCCACGGAAGTTAATTCAGAGAAGCTAAATTCAGTTTCTAACTTGTGGACATTCCTTTTCCACCTCAAATGAATGGTGCAAACAGTAGGTTTGACAAAAAAATATGTCTCTTTAAAAAGTTACCTCTTCAAATCCAAAGAGCTGGTTCTGTCTCCAGGCTGACTCTTTCACAGACTCATCGTCACTGAGGGATTCAAACATAGAGTTCTCTGGTAAGTGGTTTCCCCTCCTGTACTTTTATTTTCTTTCTGAATTAAAATCATTACTGGTGACTTTTCTGTCTTCAATTTTTATTTTGTCTTCAGTAACCACGAAATGCTTCCCACTATTGAGAACATTGAACTTATTTCTGAACCTGAGATTTAACACCAAGAATCTGTTTTTCACAAACTTCTCTTCTGTTGAAATGCAAAATGTAATATGAGAGATGACAGAAGATAGTGTTGCTTTGTAAAACGGAAGGTGTTATTGATCAGAGTCTTTGATAAAATTGTCTTTTTTAAAACATGGGGCACTCACATATGCTGACTTTAGCCCAGGAAAGACACTGACTTCCTCTGAAGTCAGTGGAAGGAGACACGGTCTTTTAGAGGGCAAATCAGAGCAACAGCTTAACGTCAGGGACTCAAAATTGTCCCATGAAGCAGTCTTTCGCTATACTTATAAGCACATGAACGATGGTACAAAGGGCTTACATGCGTGTAAGTTTATGCACATTATTCACTACTATTTTCACTGGGAAAACTTGGTCCTCAGTAATACTATTTAGAATTTTGCCTTCATGTCCTCTTAGCAGGATTTATCCAGTTCAGCAAGGTCTCTGCAGTTATCACTAGTTCATAGATTGATAATTTCTATGGCACTCACCTTTTTTTTCTTGAATAGTTCTGTACATTCTCCTTTAAGTTAAGCCGCTGATCATGGGGATAAGCAAATGTCTCTAAAATAAAAAAGTAAATCTTGATTTTAAAATGCAATAGCATAAATGCAATTTGAAAACAAATGCTTCTGTCAATTTTTAAAAATAATTTAAATAATTGGATTTAAAATTAAATTACTGCATTCTAAAGATTCATTACATGTTTTCGGTCAGGGCAGATACATCTCTGGTTATAAAAACATATGTCTTTAAAAGGAGAATAAAAAATAGAATATATGTCCTTAAAATATTGACACTCACCACTTTTTTCAAGGTTTGCAGGTTTTTCTTTGTTTTCAGAGGTTATGAAGTAGTGCTGTCCCTCATGACAGTCCTGCAGGTGGGCTTTATGAAGTCCACTGGTTTTCTTGTAGCTTGCACTTGTGGCATTGTTACTGTTAAGTAAAACCTGTTCTGGAGCTGTGAAAATGCCTTCAAGTTGTCTGTCTACAGAACTTTTTTTTGCATTGATTGCAGGATAAGCCTCTCTAGTATGATAAGGATAATTTCTGTTGGTCATTTGATTTCCATCATCAGGATCAATGAAAAAAATGGCAGTACTGCTTTGGTTAACAAAAGGATTAAAATGCTTTGTGGAAGGATTATTATGGATTGGTTCGCTCTCATCTTCGAACAGTGCTAGAAAGGAACAATCACTTCCGTCTTGGGGACCTTTCAATTCTGCAGTTTCTTTCACAACATCAAACAACGGTTCTTTTATTCCTTCACTGTTTTCTGATTCATTACTGGTCATTATCACTGGATTTTTCCTGGCAGAATTCATATAGTCTATCCTGGGGGTGGGGTGGAGGAAGGGTAGAAAAGAAAAAACAGTTTGCTCAGTACGTACATAAGCAAAATACTAACTGCTAACACAACAAATTATGGTAACTTGGTGATAAAAATTTGAAAGACTTTACTCATCACACTTCCTTTTGTCCCAAATATACATTCTTTCAACTGAAAAAGTGTCCTATTTCCACTTTATACTAAGGTTGATTTAAAAGGGTTTCTGTTTCATGATGTCTCTAAACATACCAAGACATCCTCCTGAGTAGCGAACTGTGATTTATAAAATCAGCCACAGTATGTCACTGCTGCTCCATCAGCTGACCAAAGAAGTCCACTGGGGGGGGGGGAAGAAAAAGAAAAAGAAGACGACAGCTTCTTCTGTTCATAAAAGTTGTTTGTTCTTCAAGACTACAGTTCTCTCCTGTACTGAAAGCCCATAATAAGCTCTGTGTGCGCTGCTTAAGTCTTGGTCTCTTTAGCAAGTGACTTCCATTTGTATTTGAGGTCAGTAATCTTAACTCAGCACAGAATTTTTCGTTCCACTGTCAGGGGGCCAGTCAGACATTTTGTTTTGCCCATACTTCCCTACCCCACTTTTCATAGTAGTGGTTTTGAAGATGCTCCCATGCTAGCATCATTAGCATGAAAGCTATCATACTTTCACTTACTTGGCTTTTGATCTAACATTTTCACTGCTTTTTTTCTAGGCTTGATCTGTTGACTGACCTTTCAGAAAATCTGAGCAAAAAGTTGAGAGGCTTCTGAAGCACAAAGAATTGGTAAAGAAGGTCATTCAAAAAATGCCCTTTCTTTAACAAATTTTGAGCAATGCTATCAGTGGAACTTGAAAACTGAAACGTAGTACAGAAAACTCTTACTGGAGAAAAATTCTGTAATGTTTTGATCAGCAAATACTCGAAACTGGATAAAGATCCTAAATGAGAAAGTAGTATCCTCTACTTACAGAAACCCCCCAGAACAGTTTTAAAAGGATAAACACACTAGAGTTTGTTTCTGGCGAAACTTGGATAGATCTACATGAGGAAGGTAAAAACATTTTGTGAAGTAATTCAGAGGCTCCTTCTTCACTCCAGCTGAACATTTTGTAATGTTAAGTAAATGTTAATAGTAGATGAGGAAATAGCTAAGCACTATTCAGAGTGAAAGATACCTGCTATTTTTATAAGACATCTAAAATTTTTAGTTAATATTTAATGATCTTGAGATGCCACAGCTCTCAGATATATGCACATTGATTACATCATCAATATGTTACAATTACAATTACATTAAACGATTGTGTAAGTTTATACTCTACTTTTCACATACAGTGAAAGAAACTCCCTTCCCAGGAGAACTGCCAGCTCTTGTGGTATAAGAATTTATGGCTATAACGGATGAAAACAAAACAAGGACGATACAAAGAAATGAATTTGAAGAACAGTTGGAAAGGAGATGTTGTTAGTGAGCCATGAATGGGCAGAGGACTAAGGGATGTGCCATAAGCAGAGTGCAGGCCTGAGGGCCTGCGGAGAAATGAAAGGGGAGATGTAGGCAAGATAAGGTTAGGCAGGGCTTTAATGTGAAGATATTCATCAGGAATTCACCAAGATATACAGCAAGGTGAATGTTATCCTCATTTTAGGTTTTGCTGGAGAAAGCCAGGAGAAGCTAGGAGAAGAGAGAAAGAGAAAGTTAAGGTGGCTAGGACTGGAAGCTGATGTGTTCATCTAGTTATCATGTGGTCAGCGAGCTTATCAGTCACTTGACTCACAAGCAAACAGGCTGTAGGTACTTCAGGAACAGCAAAATAATATATGGCCTTTTTACGGCTCTACCCAGCCAAAGCTAGAGACTGATAGGAACTTTCAACCACGCAGCAGACTTACAGAATAAAAAGAGTAAAGAAAGATTAGCCCTTAAGACCCCTAGGTCCAAGGCAAGAGCCTCTGGAAAGAAACTGAAATAAAATGTTCAGTATAAATGAGTCTGGTCCTAAACACTCTGTGATCAAAAAGATTTTTAATCAGCACATACAAAAAGAAATATATTCCAGGTTTCTACCCATTCTTTTAAAAAAAGTGTGTATTCTTATAAAAGCATTATTGAACCAATTCTAAAAAAAACCTGCTATAGCAGGATCACATATGAAAGAAAAGGGAAAAAATGCTTTGTTCCTGGAATCCCAAACAATGTAGGTGGAGAAGTTGCTCAATTGCTACAGCACCAAGGTCATCAGAAAAGCACTTGCAACAGTGACCAGAACTAATGAGAACCGGGGCAGCTACCCTCCCTGTGGCCTCTTAGTAAATCTGTGCTTCTCACTTGGGGTGAATTCAGTAACACCATCATGTGTGTGATGCTGCAAAAAACAGATCATGGTTCCAAGTGCCTACCTAAAATTCACATCTTGCTGCCTTTCAGCAAATTTAAATAGCTCGGTATGTTCAGTCTTCCATTTATTTTCAATTTCTATTTGAAAAGCACCAAAAATGAAAGAAAAATCAAGTAGCAATAAGTTTCAGATTATCTTAGTATTTTTCTTACTTAAATTTGACTGTTATTTCTCTTTTTAATGTAAAATCACTGCCTACCTATGCAATGGCTTAAACAGTTCCTGAGGAACTGCATCGGACTTCCTGAAAATACACGGGCTCGGAGGTTTTGTAATCCAAGGGTCTTGATCAGAACTATTTCCTGGCTGAGAAAACAGTAGACACTGTCAAACCCTGAATATATATAATAGTTACAGTGTTTAAAACTTTAAAGTTGGGTTTGCAAACAACATACATGTTTTCCCACTATTTTCACTTCTTTTTGTCTTTACGGTAGAAGCCAAAACTTCCTTACAGCCCAACTGAGTTCTGTACAACTCATACGTTTCCATATTTGTGTATCACTGTTAATATGCAAAATGTCCTTTTAGCACCCCTTCCTCTCATAGTATGAACAAGCTTGATAGACTGGAACAAGCTTGATAGACTATAACAAGCTTGATAGACTGTACCAAGCTGAAGTTCCACTGAAGATCACATGATCATAGAAAGCTGTTGTCTGGAAGGTTTGACCTCAAAAAGTATCTAGTCCAACTTGTTCAAAGCAGGGCCAGCTTCACGGTTAGGCCAGATTGTTCAGGATTGTTCAGGACTGAGATTCCACAACCTGTTTGGATGGCCTCTTCTGGTGCTTAGCTACTTTTGTGACAATATTTTTTCCCTATACAAACAGAATTTCCGTTGTTGAAACTTTTACTTCTTGCCATTTCACTGTGTACCTCTGGCTCTGTCCTATCTGTAACTCTGTTTAGACTGTGGAAGACAGCAGTTATTTCACCCCACACCCCCATAGCCTTCTCTTTCCCAGGGCTATGAAAGCCCTCTTTGCTCAGTCTCTCCACATTCATGATGTGCCCCCATCCCCTAGCAATTTTTGTGGCCCTTCATTGGTCTTGTTGATCTCTCTTTTGTACTGGGGGTCCCAAAACTGGACACAGTATTTCAGATGTGTTCTCACATATGCTGCTCAGAGTGAAATAATTACTTGCCTTTGATGCTGGGTATGCTTTTTATAATACAGCCCTCTATGTAGTTGGCCTTCGCTACTACAAGGGTGCACTGCTGACTCGTGTACAACTTGTTGTCCACCAGCACCCTCAGGTCCTTCTCTGCAAAATTGCTGCCTACTCAATCAGTCCCCACCTGCAGTGATGTGTGGGGTTATTTCCCCCGGGGTGCAGGGCTTTGTATTTCTCTGTGTTAAACTCTATGAAGTTCCTGGTGGCCTTCTGCTTGTCAAGATCCCTCTAAGCAGCAGCCCAGTTACTGTAATGACCACTCTGCCAATTTGGTGTCATGTATGAACCTGCTGAGGTGCTGAGGGTGCATTCTGTCTCATTGTCCAACTCTCTAATGAAGATGTACTGGACTTAGTATTAACCTCTGGGGATCCCTGCCGTTACTGACCTGTTGCCAATTAGACTTCAGCCCACAGACAACTACTTTGAGCATGATGGTAACAACCAGTTTTTTACCCATCTTATTGTCCTCTCAGCTGGTTCATACCTCACCACTTTGGCTACTAGAATCCTATGGGAAACCTTGTCAAAAGCCTTCCTAAAGTCAAGGTAAATAATATCTGCTACTCTCCCTTATTCATAGAGCTAGTCATTTCATCACAGAAGGCAATCGGGTTCATCAGGCACAGTATGGCCTTGAAAGTAAATCTATGCTGGCTGTTCCCAGTCACCTTCTTGTTCTTCATGTACCTTGGAATTGCCTCCAGGAGGTCTAGTTCCATAATCCTTTCAGGGACAGAGATGAGATGATACTTCCCCAGATCATGCTTACATTTTTGTAGGTGGGCATAACATTTATATTTCTTGTTACTGAGAAGCTTTCCTGATCACCACAGTCTTTCAAAGATGATAGGCATCTGCCCTGCAGTGGTGTCATCCAACTCCCTCAATATACTTGGATGCACCCTGTCCAGTCCCATGTATTTCTTTATGTCCAGGTTACTAACGATTCCCTAACTTGTTCCTTCGCTACTGTTCTGTACCACTCTCCCCCAAAACTCTCTGCTGAGCTTGAAGATATGCCAGAGGGCAGACCTTGGCAGAAAAGCCTGAAGCAAAGTAGGTCTTGAGTGCCTCAGACTTTTCCATGTCCTTTGTCGCTAGGTCATCAACTCTATTTAGCTGTGGACAGCATTTTCCTTTGTTTCCTTTTGCTGATGACATACCTATACAAGTCCTCCTTGCTGCCCTTCTCACCCCTTGTGAGTTTCAGCTCTGGCCACCCCTCTAAGCTCAGGGGATGCTTCTGTATTCTTTCTGGGTGGCCCAACCCTCCTTCCACACTTCCTTTTTGCATTTCAGCTCAGTCAGGAGTTCCCTGATTCTGCCAAACTGGCCTCCAGGACCTACTCATTCTCTTGCACATTGAGGTGGACCGTCCTTGTGTTTTGAAAACATCTTTCTTGGGCTCCTTTGTCCTTCAGGTCAGCTTCCTGTGGGTTTCTGCCTACCCGTTCCCTGAACAACCCAACATCTCCACTTCTGAAGCCCTGAAGTACTCCCTCCTCATTTACCTCAAGACTTTAAAATACCACTGGTGATATACGTAGAATTTGTTTTATTATTTTCAATAAATAATGTATTTTCTAAAAATAAAACATATTATGAGAGCCCCCTTATATTTGCTATTACTTTTCTAAGGATGATTCTTCCAAGAATCCCAAAGTTAAGAAAAAGAAAAAAAACGGTAACATGCACCAGAACAAATAACTTTAAATCATTTCTTAAACTTAACTTGAGTTAAACAGCAGGCTTTCCTCAATCCTTTTATGAGCATTGAGAATACTGTAAGAACTGTGTTACTCATTGAGACACTGCATGATTAAAAATTAGGTCACAGTGATCAACTGGGATCATATGTTACCCAGTTATACTAATTGTACATTTAAGAAAGCTGTATTTATAACTGTAATACATTTCAGCTTTCTTTAGCGAACTTTACAAGCCAGAAACAAAAGAAAGCCAGCGGTCTGTGACTAACTCTCTTTCTGCGGATATCAGCGATACTGAGAGCCCAGTGAACAAAAGCTCAAGTTAAGCATATTTCATAACAATGTAAGAAATGTATTTATATATATGGAATATTCATTGCCACCAGCCTACAAGAAATGTTTATCATTCATAATTATCTTCACCATTACACTAATTCTACACCCCAAATAAATGAAAGTTTAAAATAATTCTGCGGAAATGACAAAATATTAATCAAACCTGGTTTTGCAGCTTCTCTTCATAGGTTTGTTCCCAAGTGTTGCCCATTAGGTTTGTGTTGAAATTTTCTTCTGAAAATTGTGTACAGTTAGAGGACCAAAAAACAGAAGAGGACAACGGACAGGCACTAAAAGCTCTTGCTATGTTGTCTTCATGTTCCGTAGTAGAGTCAGCATACGTTAATTCTGTTACTTGTGATAACTAGACAAAACATAGAAGAGAGACATTTTATTTTTCTGAAACTGTTCTGATGTAAGCATAAAATTCAAAGTAATCAAACCTTTCTTCATCTTTTACACCTCTGCACATTTACCATATACAAGAGAAATTTTTCACATATTCTGATACGATTTTTTCATTAAAAACCTAAGGTATTAAGGGCTTATTTCAGGGAAACACATAAGTACCTACTTAAGTTGAAGCATGCAAACAAATGTTATTCTGAGGAGAGATGGGTATAAATACATTTTTAGCTTTAGATGTGTAAGTAAATGATCTGCTGACTTGGTTCTTAAGTAGTAAAATGGAAAATATTTTACTCCATTGAGGAGAGAACTCCAGCATGTTGTGATACCAACAATGCTATCTCAAGCAGAACACAAGGAGAAATTTGAAGGCAAAACTCATGAAATGTCACTGTATCCACAGCTACATGGAAGTAATGCCTGTAGTCCAACTTATCCAGTGAAAGCAGCACAAACTACTAATGGAGTGCAAAAGCCTTGCACAAAATCTTTGTACCTCAAAACTGTACGTTTCCAGAAAGCTGAAAATTATGACTTTTATAGCCCCTCTTTCTGTTTAATAAAGTGGATATATCTTAATTACTTAAATTGGATATACTTCAACTTATGAAGATTTTAAAACCAGTATTTGCAACATATAGGCCTTAGACTTTATTTTTTGATCCATAAATTAAATTAGCTTTCTGTGTGTGCACACTGCATTATCATGTGTTTTGATGAACTGATGTAAATCTATCCATACAAGTGGAGGTTGAGGAGAAACTTAGCTATCATTTTGATCCGTTATTTCTGGCCACACTAAATCTAAAATATGTCCTCTGTCTTCAAGAAACAGATGAAAAAGAGTCATAAAGGAAGGCTGACTTAATGTGATACCCAAAAAGTAGTGGCAGCTCGTAGTGATCTTGGTTGAAACACATTAGACAGCTAAACTTTTCACCCATACTAAGTAATTCTTCCTGACTCAAAAGAAAGGAACTTCTAACACTAGAAAAACATCTGTCTTTCTCACTCTAGCAAAATGTGCTTTGGCAACATGAATGGGCCAAGAACATACGAACAATACTGTGCAAGCATCTTTTGCAACCGTCTTTTCCTCAGGGTCCTATCTGATATGAATAGCAGGAGTCAGTAGAGCTATGTTATCAAGCAAGTCTGAGTAGCCTGAACTAAGTGCCTTCTAACATTTACTAACTTGGTTGGGTTTTTTGTTTGGTTGGTTTTTTACACAACAGTGGAATGGGTCATTAAAAAAAGCCTAAATTCCATCTAGAGAACGTTTTTCGCTGTAACCTCAATAACTTCCCAATTATATCCACTGAAACTTATACTTAAGTTCCTCTTAAAGACTCACTTCTGTCTATGCTTCTCACATTTAATCATTTCACATTTCTGCATATTATTTTTAATTTGCCTGCTGTTGGCCTCAGTCTCTTTCCCATAATCTCTGTCCTTTGTGACTAGCTTAGAGCACAGATATTCTTAAGCATTTTGGAAAATGCCTAGAACAATGTGAGCCTTTCAAGAAATACATAAGAAATAGCAGGAACAAATACAAAATATGACTGGCAAATAACATATCAGTATAGCCTTAAATATGAAGACTTCACATGTTTCTGTATCCATGAGATTTGGTGACTCTTTGAAAAATCACTTAAAAATACAGTCTTTGCTGCACATTTTTAGCTTTACATCAGTGAGAACAATAAACTTACTTACATTATGCTGGTATTTTACTTTCTCTGAGAGATGCTGCCTTCTGCTGTCCAATACTTGCTTTTGTAACCTTGTAAAATGAATAAAAGCAGCCTATGAAATACAAGATATAAGATCTATAAGATTAAAAACGTTCTGAGTATTAATTTCAAAACAATTTAAGAATATTTTTCCACACATCTTAAAAAGGCCTGATTCTTAAGCAGTTATGAGCAGCCAGTGTGTGAGTCAGTCACTTTAGGGTGTCTGAAGTTGGATGGGAAAACAGTGTAAGTAAGTGGAAAATGCTGTTTAAATAGCCTGCTCTGTGAGATAAACTTAGTGTATGTACCTGACATGAGTAAAGAAAGATTATTTTTTTACAAATCTCTCAGCTTCATGTACAGTTTTTTATTTAGAATACATTTATTTACTCTCTAATAGTAAGAGTATCACTGGAATGCCAGGAGTGATTGTGAAACTTCTTCATCTTAGAATGGTATATTTATGTTTACTTAATACCCCAAATATAAGACCATCATGAAATACCTTTCCCAGAACTTAATTATAGCTTAACTACTGCCTATTTTATATAAGTACCTGTTCTGGTTGTCATCTAAGTTTGATGTATGTTGTACACGTAGTGGTGACGTGGGAAGCTCTATGTTGTGTCTCCTAACAGGTATTTTTACATCTTCAGTGATATCAATGTGGACCGGCTTCCTCATGTTCTCTGCAATGGAAGTATTTGGAATATCACCGTTAGGCTTGGAAAAAGTTTTGAGCTTCCTGAATTTTGATTAGAGTACAAAAGCTGTTGTTTTAGGTTTCTTAATCCATTTAAAGCCATATTTTTTGCTTTCTTTGTTACTAGCAATGCAAGAGCTCTATTCTAAATGGCATTATAGTATGAAATTATTTATGGTCAGCTGCTGTGTGTAGACAGGCTCTGTTGCGCTCCTCAGTCACCTTCTAATCTTCCTGAGCATAGGACAACAAATTCTCCACAATTTGGTTTATGAATATGTCACAGAAGATAAGAGTTAGGACTCAAGCTGGAGAGATGTTTAGAGCTTAATGATGGATTTTAAGAAAATGCTCTGGGTAGAACTGACAGACTATTCCAAATGCCCCCAAAAAGTTATGAAAAAGAAAGTGGAATACAAATGGACCCATTCAATGGCAAAGGGAAAAAGAAATGGATGTAGGGTGGAATTAATGGATGGATGACACCAAGCTGGGC